CCCACCCCTCCTGTTTATAAAATGGTATGTGGGAGCTACTAGATTTCAGTGGAGTAGTCGCTTTCTTTAGAGGCAACCTTATTGCCTCCTGAAAAGGGGACACAAGTTCTTGTTCTTCACTTTGTTTGGTTTTTTTTTTTTTTTTGCCATCAAGTCACATATGACTTATGGCAACATCATAGGGGTTTCAAGGCAAGAGACTTTCAATGGTGGTTTGCCATTACCTGCCTCTGCGTAGCAACCCTGGACTTCCTCAGTGGTCTCCCAACCAAATACTAACCAGGGCTGACCCTGCTTAGTTTCTGAGATCTGACGAGATCAGGCTAGCCTGGGTTATCCAGGTCAGGATTGTTCATAACGAGGAAAAGAAAGGGGGGGGGGGGCAGCAGGACATCCAAACTTCTGTGGGCTGCTTGAAACAAGATCAGTTTCTTACATGGTAGCATTCACATACAGGAAAACATGTGCAAAACTGTATGCAGTTGTCACATCTAGTAACTTCCCATGTGCCCTGCAGCTGGCATTGGCTTCCCAGTAACAAAAACTCATCCCTCTGGTGCATGTAAACACACACAAAAAAGAGCCACATGTGATATCCTGTGAGGAGGAGGAGGAGGAGGAGGAGGAGATTGGATTTATACCCCGCCTTTCACTTGGAGTCTCAGAGAGGCTTACAAACTCCTTTCCCTTCCCCTCCCCACAAGAGACACCCTGTGAGGTAGGTGGGGCTGAGAGAACTCTGGCACAAAGTGCTCTTTTTCAAGGACAGCTGTGCCAGAGCTTGTGACTGACCCAAGGTCACATCAGCAGGTGCAAGTGGAGGAGTGGGGAATCAAACCCGGTTCTCCCAGATTACACCAAACTGGCAAATGAGCTGATGCACATACATTTTTCTTCCGGTATAAGCAAGTTGTCATAGTTAAAATGGTTCATGACCTCAAGTTGCATTATATGTTGCAAAACTATTAATAGTTAATATACCTATAGCATTTACAGTGGACTTGACCCTCAGTAACTCAAAGGCACGCCCCTTAATTCTAATCAGAAGGAGCAAGGAAAAGCTACAGTTCCACAGAATGACAAACGTCAAAAAGCACAATGGCAGAAACATTTACCTGTAAATATACATAAAGTCATCTTTTGTGCAGAACCTTAAAATTATATACATAAATAGGAACTAGAAGATCTTTACAAAATCATATGAAAATGTACAATTATATCTAGGGAACCACAGAAATCTGGTAGACTTCCTGTTTTGAGAGGGAGCTTCTCCCATCTCCTTTTTTCTTTCATCCAGTTAAACCTGGCTACGTCTTCACTTATAAAGTTTATTTCTAAGTAGCCCTCACCTCTAAGAACCCTGCTGGATCAGACAACATGAGGTATGGTTAGGCTAAGACAGAGTGAGTGGCTCACCCAGTGAGCTTTCACAGCAGGGTTGTCGTGATGATAAATAGAGGAATGGATAATGATTTTGTAAGCTCCCCAAATCCCGTTGGGGAGAAAGTCAGGATATAAATGTCTCAGCCAAATCTTTGGGTACCTTAATCTGGTGACTGGAGCTGTGTACAGGCAAGAAAGATCTTTCTACAAACAAGAAAAGGGCCCCAGGTTTGCAGAAAAATATGAAATTAAAGAAAATGCATTGGAGGATTTAAAAAACTTGGAAACAATAAAAGGAGCACCTGTAGCTTTAAGTAACAGATTCCCTCTGTGGCTATTGCTAGGCAACCACAGTATTCCAAGCTTGGTTCGATGATAAAAGATAGAGGAAGAAGGCAGGGCCCTTTCCAGACCTATTTTGGTCTTTGAGGGAGGACCCTGGGGCCAGGCCTGGCTAGAGGTGCCAGCTCCAGGTTGGAAAATTTCTGGAGATTTTGTGGTGGAGTCTGAGAAGGGCAGGGTTTGGGGAGGGGAGGCCTCAGCTGGATATAATGCCATAGAGAACACCCTCCAAAGCAGGCATTTTCTCCAGGGGGACAGAGTTCAGTTGTAATTCTCATCTGGAGGTTGGCGACCCAAGGCCTGGAAGCAACCTCTGGGTGACTTTATATGACCCATCTTGCATGACTCAACTTGGCCTGGCTTCTTTGTAATGTTCAACAGCAGCCACCCTATGAAAGCCAGTGTGGTGTAGCACTTAGACCCAGGTTCGAATCTTCATCTTGCTGCAGATGCTCATTGAGTGATTTTGGATCAGTCACATACTTTCAGCCTAATCTACCTCACAGAGTTGTTCTGAGAATAAAAAGGAGGAAAGGAGAATAGTGTAAGCTGCTCTGGGGGGGGTATAAATGCAGTAAATAAATAATAAATATAGCTGAAGATGGGAGGCAAATAAAAGGTAGGTTGGTAAATGTCTGAGAAAGAGGGAATGGGGCAAGTGGAGATAGGAGAGTATATGAGGGTTGCCAGGGAGAGTGAAAGAGGAATTAGTGGGGGAGAAGAAAGTGAGATGACTTCTGCAAGTCTTTGCAGGTTCCTGCATGTAAATATTAATTACCATTTAACAAATATTTCCTTTAGTTCATCCTGAATCTATTGCCCGTCAACTTCAATGGTTTCCCTGGAGTTCTGGTATTATGGGAGAGGAAGCTCTTGAATTAATGCTCTAAAAGGGGTTAACAGGTTGGAAATTTCAGAATAATTCCAGGGCCATTAAAGAAACTAATCCGTTTCAGAAACGTTTATGATATTTCCAAAGACTTCAAGGAGAATTTCTAATTTTCAGATTTTCCATCTGAAAGGAGGAAGACTACCAGACTCCTGTGCTTTGTTTGATATATTTGTACATCTTCATACCACTTTGTAAATATCTTAAAGATCATATTTTCTCATGTACCAAATTTTAAAAATTTCACTTAAAGAGTGGTTACGTGTACATCCTTAATTCTAGTATCCCACTTGGATATTAAAAACAGAAGCTCAGTAGAACTTATTTCCACACAAAGGCTTTAGACTCAAAGATTGTGCGTTGCTGTGCCTATTCTGCCCCTTGTTTGTGTCTATTGTTTTGCTGGACCACAGTCACTATTGCTTGATCCAACTGATTATACCTGTGGAGCCATGCAAGTGATTTCCCCCTTACTGATATGGTGACATCAATAATGGTATCTGAAGGAAGACAGGAGTGGGGAAAACCCTGATCATTCCCTTTTTCTTCTCTGGTTCAGTCGAGGTGTGAAATTAGCTAGACCTGAGTGCAAGCCATGCAGTTTCTGGCACGGTCAGTTTCACTCTCCAAAATATACTCCGTTTCCAAAGATCTCCACGAGCCCATCAACGATATTTTTAAAACTTTCAAAAACTGTAGTGTGCCAGATCTGGATGGCCGGGAGGAGACTCATCATGGGCATTATCCATGATGGCCCCACCCATAAGTAACATACACGTGTAAAGTGCCATCCAGTCGGCAGCTGACTTATGGCGACCTCAGCAAGGGGCTGCCAAGGCAAGCGATTAAGCAGAAGTGGTTTGCCAGTGCCTTCCGCTGGCGTCTCTTCCTTGGAGGTCTCCCTTCCAAGTACCAACCCTGCTTGGCTTCCGAGATCTGACGAGACCAGGCTATATCATACTGCCTTCCCTCCCTACAAATAACATATCTGCTGCAATTTATTCTTCCGGACGGTCAAGCCTTGGCTTTTCCACGACATACCCTAACATGCATCAAAATTGTCACTGTCCAGAGTACCAAAAAAATTAACCTGTGTGCTGTAGCCAATAAAAGGTTTACTATACTCCACCCTGAAACTATGAATAGCTATTACATGTACACAGTTTGTATTTAAGGACAAAACCCAAATCCAGACACTTCTGTATGACTCTTGTTTCAAGGACTGGGTGCTCTCATGCTCATCTGCTTTGCTCGTGGGAAAGGCATGGTAGATTATGCTTCTCACGCAGTCAAGGGCATGACACATTAGAAGACTGTTTTGTGCCTCTGGATTTGGGGACTCCTCATGTATACTGTATCTGGTGATGAAAGCACAGACCTGCAAGCCAGCAGGGAAGTCTTCACAAAACCAGAGCATCCAGCAACAATGGTCGCTTTCCTTTCTGCTCCTCAGTAAGTCCTGATCTCTTGTTGCACCACCTTCAAGAGTATCTGGAGCTTCAGTGTAACAGAATCTGCAAGGGAAAGAGCAAGAGTAGTTCAGCTGCCGGTGTTTTTAAAAGGGTAGCTGGAAAACTTTACCGGCTTGATAGAGGGCAAAATTTAATTTGTGAAATTCTCCAGTGAAAAACATGAGTGTGGCCACACCTTCCTGTTTGCAGCTGTTGGAAGCAAAAATGTTTCAGTTGCACAGTGTGCAATGAGAAACTGCTCCACTTACAGACATCTTTCGTGACTCTGACTAGGCATCCATTTAAAGGTTTTCTGGGGGCCTTGACTTCAGTAAAAGTTTGCCAATGCAGCAAGTAACAGGAACTTCAAGAACAGGCCTACAATCCACTTGGAATAAGCCTTGAGGTAGCCCACTTCTGTGTTCTCAACCGAGATCTGACGAGACCAGGCTATATCACACTGCCTTCCCTCCCTACAAGTAACATATCTGCTGCAATTTATTCTTCTGGACGGTCAGCCTTGGACATACCCTAACACGCATCAAAACTGTCACTGTCCAGAGTACAAAAAAAATTAACCAGTGTGCTGTAGCCAATGAAAGGTTTACTATACACCCTGAAACTATGAATAGCTATTACATGTACACAGTTTGTATTTAAGGACAAAAACCAAATCCAGACACTTCTGTATGACTCTTGTTTCAAGGACTGGGTGCTCTCATGCTCATCTGCTTTGCTCGTGGGAAAAGCATGGTAGATTATGCTTCTCATGCAGTCAAGGGCATGACACATTAGAAGACTGTTTTGTGCCTCTGGATTTGGGGACTCCTCATGTATACTGTATCTGGTGATGAAAGCACAGACCTGCAAGCCAGCAGGGAAGTCTTCACAAAACCAGAGCATCCAGCAACAATGGTCGCTTTCCTTTCTGCTCCTCAGTAAGTCCTGATCTCTTGTTGCACCACCTTCAAGAGTATCTGGAGCTTCAGTGTAACAGAATCTGCAAGGGAAAGAAGAGCAAGAGTAGTTCAGCTGCCGGTGTTTTTAAAAGGGTAGCTGGAAAACTTTACCGGCTTGATAGAGGGCAAAATTTAATTTGTGAAATTCTCCAATGAAAAACACGAGTGTGGCCACACCTTCCTGTTTGCAGCTGTTGGAAGCAAAAATGTTTCAGTTGCACAGTGTGCAATTAGAAACTGCTCCACTTACAGACATCTTTCGTCACTCTGACTAAGCATCCATTTAAAGGTTTTCTGGGGACCTTGACTTCAGTAAAAGTTTACCAATGCAGCAAGTAACAGGAACTTGAAGGCCTACAATCCACTTGGAATAATCCTTGAGGTAGCCCACTTCTGTGTTCTCACTCTATTCTCCAGGCAGTTTTCTGGGAGAAAGGGCAGAACCTTAATCCTGCATGGACAGGCAGACTTTTTGGCAGAGTCAGCCATTGTACAGTAAGGACTGCATAGTTAGGAAACACGTTTGCTCAGGTGAGGCTTTACATATAAAATCAGAGAGAGGAGCTAACATCCAAGTGCGGAATGTCTCTTTCTCTCTCTCATGCACATAAGAACATAAGAGAAGCCATGTTGGATCAGGCCAGTGGCCCATCCAGCCCAACACTCTGTGTCACACGGTGGCCAAAAACCAGGTGCCATCATAGGGTTGCCAGCCTCCAGCACATGCCCATACAAAAAGATTACTTAGTCGGGAAAATGTGTGCAACTTCATTCATAGAGCCGCTGAGAGATCCAGCTGAAGAACTGATCACTGACAATCTTTGGTTTACACCACTCATGCACAATCACGGACACACAGGCTTCATGTGCTAGGTTCCAGTTGTACATGAACAGGCACTGCAGGAACTTGATCCAGCTCACTGTATTGCAGTGACCACAGACTGCAGCTTCCCACAGTGCAAAGCAGGGCCCAGCTTCTCCCCACTGCTCCTGCAAAGTATACACGTGGAGGATGCCAACGGGCACAGTGACAGGCCATTTTGAGGAATGGGGGTCCTCCTGTATCCCTGTCCAGCCTGTCCCCTCTGTTTGGCCAAGGAACCAGAGCAAAACAGTGGGGGAGAGCTGGATATGGGAAGTTCACACACACACCCCTCCATAATGTCCAGGCATTCAGAGGGCCTCTGTGAACATACTGGGGACAACGACAAAGCTCTCTTATGCCCTATGGAGTTCTCTCCGCACTTGGGTGCTGTGTGGGTGGTGAAGATCGAGTTCTAAGTGTAAACCAAAACTGTACTGAATCCAATAATACAAAATTATCCAGAGTTTACTCACGGAAGGTAGTACGGCAACAATTTGGCATTGACCTTTGGACAAGCAAGTAGTAAACTGGAAAGCCGCTCAGGACCATGGCGCAACCAATGCTGATGCTTACTGGATCCGAGTAGAAAGACATCCCCACCGTGAAAAGGCAGATGAGCGTGAAGGAAACAGGAATGAAAAGAGGCACCTGGGTATGGAGGGGGGGGGGACAGATGTTTCTAAATGTAACAAGGTTTCAGGTAAAGCTTCTCACTAGATTTTAAATTCCACCAGACTGTATTCCTCATGCCTTTTCAAAGTAGTCATGGAACGCGCGCACACAAACCCGTCACCTCATGCCTTTTCAAAGTAGTCATGGAAGGCATGGAACGCACACACACAAACCCGTACCACATGAATCTTTTATACACATTTGATTTCTGTAATGCTCCTTACCTGTTCTGCAGTGGGGCATCAGCGTCTCTATCAATATACACACCAACTGGATAAACTCAGCCATGAAATTCATTAGGTCCCCTTGGACGAGTCACCCTATCTTGGCTCAATCTCATTTATCTTGCAGTAGTATTCTATGCAGGGCTTTTTTTTCTGGGAGAACATGCCAGAACAGAGTTCTGGAACCTCTTCGACAAAATCCTTCTTAAAATGTTTAATAGTTCATGAGTTTTCAGTATACAGACTGAAAACTTTATTTCCCTCTTTTTCCAAATAAAAAGTCCTGATTCTATGGATCAGGATGTTTCTACCCTGTTAAATTGTTCTTTCACTAATTTCATGCTTAATATTTTCTTTTTTACTTATTAAAAAACAAAACACCCAAATCCAATCAGAATTAACAATTGGTGCTACTATGCCTTTTTTTTTGCTGTCAAGTCACAGCTGACTTATGACAAGGCAAGAGATGTTCAGAGGTGATTGCCATTGCCTACCTCTGCACAGCAACCCCAGTATTCCTTGGAGGTCTCCCATCCAAGTACTAGCCAGGGCTGATGAGATGGGGCTAGCCTGGGCTATCCGGGTCTTGCGTTAATCCTATTTGCTTCAACGTGGCATGCATAGGACAACTTCTCAGTGGATTGTGCCCCAAAGCACATCCCAGGCCACACAGTGGTATACTACGTTCTTTCATGTAGTCAGCATTGCATTAATTCCCTTTCTATTCCCTGGGCCTGACATGCATACTAGAGGATTTGGGTTGTTGCCAGATGAATTCTGGATGTGCTAAATCCATGCATGCAAATTCTGCCAAGAAAAATTTGCACAGTTGAGAAAAGCAAGCATTCTTGAGCGAAAAGGTATGGGAACTAGGGATTCTGACCCTGAGCCACTAGAGGGTAGTAGATGAATGCACGCTGGCTGCAACTGTTCCAGCTACGATCACATTTTTATCAGAGAAGTATTAGAGAGTTTAGTCTACAACATCACTGCTGCTTAGCATGTTTTTGAAAACTTTTTCAAAAGCCAAAACACAACAAGCCTTTATCCAGCATCCCTACTATGCATCTGACTGTCACTTTCATATTGGCAGCACCATGATCCAGAAAGGAGTGACCACCGAATACCTTGCCAGATGCAATCAGGTTGCAAAGGTCATTAATCACCAACAGGGAATGTAGTACCAGCAAATCTGTGCAGACCCTTTTATTACAAATACAGTCTGGATGCAGTTCTTGAGAACATTGATTGCACCTTGTATTGAGTGACAGCAGATAAATTACAATAGCCCAGGATAATTATGGTGACCAACAAACCCAAAGATGTTGCAACACTTCCCGCATAATAATGCTGAAAAAACTGGGGGGGGGGAGAGGTGGAATAAACACCACATCCTTCCCTGGAAACTCAAGACGATTCATATTGTGCTCTCTTTTGGAAGAATGGGAATTGTTCCAAGTACCCAGAATCAAAGCTTTGAAGGATCACATTCAGCGTGATTCCTATTAAGTATGGTTCATTATCATTCTCCAGCCTTGTCATGTAGCCAGGAAATATTCCTGGATACCCCAGAGAGAAAAATGCGATTCAGTAAATTGGATCCTCACTTGAGTAAACATTGGAACTTTCTAGAACAAAAAGACCAGTAATGAATGCATTGATACAGCACTTTAAATTAACCGATGCACATTATATGCACAGGCTGTGTTATTCCGATCCTAAAATGCTTGGGAGCAGGGTTGATATATAAATATTTCAAATAAACTCAGCTATGACAATAAATCACGGTTTGTCATTCTAGGAACAAGCCCTAGAAGAGTTTGCACAATCCCTCCTCCCCCACAACTTTTCAAAACCTCCTTAGAAGACTCTCTCTCTTTTTACTATACTGTTTCGGTTAACTGAGTCTATTCCTCTCTCTTTTTGTATACTGGCATGCGTGTGTTGTAAAATTACCACACTGTAAATATTTCATTGTGAAACTACAATAAAATTTGTGGAAATAAGCTGAAAAGGGAAAGAAGAAGAGAAGGGCGCCTCCTTGAAACCAAGCCATCTGCAAGCCCAGCTAGACTTTAAATGAGAGAGCCATCAATAGGTCTTTTTGAAAGTCAGAAGGGGCAATTTGGATCACAGCCTTGGCACTGGGAAAGGGTAGGTTTAACTCTTTCACCTGCATCATTTTCCCTGTTCGGACTCACCTTCCTCACTGCTGTTAACTGCTGATGGAGGGGGGGAAAGCCAGAGACAATACAGTCATTCTGATGCAGATGAGACCTCTGACAGGCGGTCAGAAGGAACTTTCTCAGTCTATGTGCCATTATGAAGAACAGCACTCTGCAGACCACCCAGAGGAAGTGGACTCCACGAGGGACAGTTCCTCTGAACCCAGGAATGTCAGATTCTTCAGACATGAATTCACAGCTCTATCACATCTCGAATCACCCAGTGTCCTCTCACACTCTACAATTGCCTGAGGCACTTACATGATGTTCCTAACTAAAATAGAGGGCACCCATCAGCACCCTGGTGCCAGGCTCCGAGCCAGAGCATTGCCCCTCTTGCATTCTGGCTAACCTTGGAGATTGTGACATAATTTGAGTACTTCATCACTCTTTAGGTGTCCAGACTTTGGCAGGGAGTCCATATTGGGAACCAGGCCCTGGTCCTGCCCTGGGTTTGCTCCCTGGACACTGCTGTTGTCTCCAGAGAGCACATGACTTTGTATTCAGAAGGTCTCAGGTTCAGTCACTGGTGTCTCCAGGGCTCTCAGGCGGCCAGTGCTGGGGGGAAACCTCCCCAGAGACTCTGGACAGTCATGGAACTAGAGCCAATGATCTGATTCAGCTGTCAGCAGGCCCATAGCCAGGATTTTATGATTGGTGGGGCAAATTTTTTTTAATTTGCGGCAGTGGCGGTGGAGCAACGGCGCGGTGCGGCGATCCCTGGTGGCCAGAAGGAGGAAAGCAGCAGCGTCCGACACTCAGCGACAGCAGAAGTGGAGGTGGAGTCGCGGAAGAGCACACGGTGACGTAAAAAGCACAGGTGCAGCGGAGCTCGATGCGGACATAGCCGGGCCAGGGCTGCTACAGGCCGTGCGCCAGAAGATCCCGGAGCTGAGAAAGACTGGCCTTGACAGCAAGAATGGGACGCCGACCCCAGTGGACCGCCGGAGGAAGAGAGCCAGGGAACAGCTATCCCACCACATTTGAGTACTTCATCACTCTTTAGGTGTTCAGACTTTGGCAGGGAGTCCATACTGGGAACCAGGCCCTGGTCCTGCCCTGGCTTTGCTCCCTGGACACTGCTGTCTCCAGAGAGCACCTGACTTTGTATTCAGAAGGTCTCAGGTTCAGTCACTGGTGTCTCCACTTCAGGGCTCTCAGCCGGCCAGTGTTGGGAGGAACATCCCCCGAGACTCTGGACAGTCATGGAACTAGAGCCAATGATCTGATTCAGCTGTCAGCAGGCCCATAGCCAGGATTTTATGATTGGTGGGGCAAATTTTTTTTAAGGAGAGGGAGAGGGGCACGTGCCACCCCCCATTCCTTCTCAAAAGCATTTAAAAGATCACTTTAAATGATTTTGGGGAAGACACAGGGGGGCTTTAAGGAAGGGGGCAGAGCCCCCAATCGCCCCACCATAGCTACGGGCCAGGTGGTTTTCAACTAAGGGCCATGGCAAAAGAGCCTGAAACCAAGGACTGCAGGGTACCACTGAATCACCTGGTCTCCAGTACCACCTCCTCCCCGGTGGCCTCTGGGCCCCGTGCTTTGCCACCTCTGCATGCCGAGCCAGCCGAGTCCTTGCTTGTTTGGTGCCAGTTTGGTGCAGTGGTTAAGTGCGCGAACTCTAACCTGGGAGAACCAAGTTTGATTCCCCACTCTTCCACTTGCACCTGCTGGATGACCTTGGGTCATTCACAAGTTCTCTCAGAGCTGTTCTCTCAAGGACAGTTCTGGAAAGTGCTCTCTCAGCCCCACCTACCTCACAGGGTGTCTGTTGTGGGGAGGGGAAGGGAAAGGAGTTTGTAAGCTGCTCTGAGACACCTTTGGGTAGTGAAGGGCGGGGTAAGGGGGCAGAGCCCCCAATGGCTCCACCGTGGCTACGGGCCAGACTATCAGTCTCAAACCAACCTGTACTATATTTCCTTCAGCACCATGCGAGCCACAACACAAGAGACCAAATTCCTCATGATGCTTTAGGTTTCAGACAGTGACAGCTCTTCTGTCCTTTCATGTGTGTCTACATCCTCTCTACCGGCAGGCCTACTGCTTTGGAGCCATGCTGGGTGTCATCAGAATCGTGGATTTCTTGGCTCACACCTCCATCTCTTAACCACTGCATTGCATCACCATAGGTCTAAAGAAGAGGTAACGCAGTGGTAGTCACAGAAGTAACTTCATTACCTGGAACGGGCTTGGTATCTCAGGGTGACGGTATCGATGAACTATAAGCCCAAGGGTTGCCAGTCCGATGAAGAGCCACCGAGAGAAGCTGAAGAAGTTCAAGAGATGGTAGAGGTCTCCCACACAAATCATGGCTGTGACCAAAGGGAACTGGGGGGGGGGGATGTAAAAATGTAATCAGTTCAGCAAAACTGCAGTCTCAGACCATGCTGGGAGGCAGCTGGAATCTGGGGCGGAGGGGATTTCCCCCTTTTGCATGAAACTATCCTGCACACCTGAGAATCCAACCTTAAAATATATTTGCATTGGAACAATGCCAGTGGCTGCAGTGGGAACAGGGAAGACCAAAGGAAGCAGGTTTACTGATTTTTTATAAAAGTAAAATGAATTTTCAGGGAGCTTATTATTTTAGGGGGTGAAAGCAAAGAAGTCCAAGGTCAATGTTTACATTAAAGGGCAAGCCAATTACAGAATTCAATAGCTGGAATAAACTGGAACTAATCCACTGAAATGTTTTACAGAACATCAATACAAAATATAAGTGCAACAGTTAGGCTGTCAGCCAATGAATGATTATTATTAGATCAGTCCCTTAGATTTTAATTGATTAATTCATGTACATGTTTGCATATTAACAAAACCTCAACAGATCTATGCAGAAACTATACTTTCTTTTCCCGGATAGCTGTAAACAACAACGTGGTCTGCAAAATTACAGGCAGGTTGAGGTAGTGGTTACAGTGTTGGTCTAGTAGTTGGGAGACCCAGGTTCTAATCCCTACCCTGTCATGGAAGCTCACAGGTTGACCCTGGACCAACCACATACTCTCAGCCTAACCTATTCCACAGGGTTGTCATGAGGATAAAATGTACAAAACAATACCACCCTGAGCTCCTTGGTGGGATAAAAACATATTAAAGTGAAACTTCAGTGTCAAATTCTAAACGAGATGGGTAGCCATGTGATTCTGTCTGTAGCAGTAGAAAAGAGTCCAGCCGCACCTTAAAGACTAACAAAATTTGTGGCAGGGAATGAGCTTTTGTGAGTGACTCATGAAAGCTCATACCCTGCCATAAATTTTGTTAGTCTTTAAGGTGCTACTGCAACCCACAAACCTACAGTCTGGTTCTGGTACGTAGATGATACCTTTATCATTTAGAGCCATGGAGAGGTAGAATTGATGGAGTTTTTAGACCACCTCATCAACATCCACCTGAACATACAATTCACCATGGAAAAAGGTAATTTTTGTCTTCACCTGAGACTAGCCTCTCAAGGCCTCCCATTGGTTCACATCATGTTCCAGTGCCTATATCCATCTAAGCACATGACCATCAAGGTGTGCACCCATGACGGCACCTATACTTTGAGTACACCCCCAAAGTCTCTCCTTTGGGCCTTCTCCATAGCACATAATGCTGGCCGTTGGTGCTATTCTCTTCAAGGACCGCTGCACATCTGGACAGGTAGTATAACCCTGTAACTGACCCCTCTATTCGCTATCATCACCTCTGTTTTCTTAGCTCTAAATTGAGTGCTCTTTTCTTAAATGCTTAATGTGCTTGTAATTAGGGAAATTCTTCAACAAAAACTATTTAATTTACTCTTCAATCTGGAGTCCTACTGTACTGGATCTTGGTATAAACAGGTGTGTGATACCTGGTACCTCTCTGGCCTCCCCTGACGCATAGCTAATTTCCCTCAACAACGAGGCAGGCCATTGGTGGTAACAGTAACATAGGGCTGCCCCTGAAGATGGTCTGGAGCTCTTTAAAGCTCTTCTAACATAAACTGATGAAGTTCTATTCCAGAAGACTTTGGACTTTGAACAAAACTGTTATTTGCCTATGATTGTCATGTTGTTATTAGTATTAATATTAATATTATTATCACTTTTTTATTAGTAGCAGTATGGTGATTTTAGCTTTTCTCCTGTTACGTTAATTTTATGCATTTTGCCCCTGCTACTTGCCTAGAGTACTTCTTGTGAAACAGAAAGGCGGCACATGAAATGAAATGCAAAAGGCTACCTTTCCTAGTATTTGCTGCAACGCCATTCACTTTTTCTTGTACTGTTACCACTTAGAAAGAACCAACATTCCTTGATCAGATCCTAGTCCTTATCTTCACTTTTGTCTAGAAATGTAACCCATCTGTACGTTGCACTGCATTATTTCTGTACTACACTCAACACAATGGCACCAATCCTATCACTCTGCTGAGCAAAGACTGAAAGACTTCTTTCTAACCTGAGGGAATATACAATACTAAAGTGCTGAATTGGAACTCATCAGGAAATTAACACTACCTCTCATCCTGGCATAAACACAGACTTGGATTTCCTTGCTCGCTATACTGTCTAGAAGTTCAACAGCCTGCACTATTTACAAACTTTAATTGGCTCTCCTTAGCATGTTGAAATGTACAACAACCCTTTATAGATGTCAGTCAGTTTCTTATAATTCAGGCTACTTCTTCCTTGATGCATTGTTGTTAATCCTTTTGAATGTACATCTGTAGCCTTTGGGAGATAGAGGCTGGAACCTCTGATCTTACTTATCACCTGTTAACAATCTAATCCATTCCACTCCTTTACACAGAGAATCATTCCTGAAAAGTTGAAGATGGGATTCACACCAAGTGCCTATCTCTGCTCTCAACTTCTCCCTTTACCACCCAACTCTGATAATTTCCCCTGGAAAAATGTGGAATATGATTTCCTCTTCGTTGCATCTGAAAAAGTGAACTCTGACTCAAGAAACCTCATGTTGGAATAAATGTTCTCACCCTTTAAGGTGCCAGCAGAATTCTACTTTATCTAGCCTAAGGGGGCTTCCTTCAACTTCATGGGTAGTTTAGCCTGAGGAAGAGCCATTTAAGTCATAGGAAGGCTTCAGACCTTCCTGAGCAAAGTGGGAAGATTCCTGCCTGTGTCCAGAATAAATATATTTTGTAACATTAATGTTGTTTTTCTAAGATCTATCATTTCTCAAAGCACTTCAGCCATTTTGCAGTAACTTGTCACATAAGAAATTGTCTGATGTTGAAGAAGCGGAAACTTACCATCAGCATAACAGCAGGTAAGGGTGTGTGTCTTTGAATATGGATCATAGAGAAGAGGGGAGGCCACTGCCCCTCCCTTGAAGCCACAAACAATGTCCTGGTAGCAGAAAACAAGCAATGCAAGACCCTGAGTCCTTTATTTATTACAGACCACAGAGGTGATTAATTGGACTTCTGGGAAGATCTATCTTTAAAAATGATATTGTTTTCTGTTGATTTCCTCCTGCTGCTCTTATTTGCTCTATGCCTTCTCTCTTTCATTTGCAATGAACCTTTATTAAAGGCTGCAGTTACCCTAAAGTGGTGATCCCTAACACTGTGTTCGTGGGCAGCATGGTGCTTGCCAGTGGGAGTCTTGGCACCAGGGCTGTTGCCAGAAAATTTTGGGTAGTGGAGCATTGGGAAATCCAGGGGGAGGGGGAGAGAGAGAGATCTCGTCTGCAGCCAGAGTTGGATGCAGAAGCAGAAGACCCAGCGAGCCCACGCCTCTTCGACAGTCAGAGAGGCACGGCAGTTCCTGTGGGCTCCAGAGGGATAGGGAGGGGAAGGGGGACTTGGAAGGATGAAAAGTGATGGGGCAGGGCTAATTTGGTGGTGGGCGTTGCCCCAAAATGCCCCACAGTGGCTACAGGCCTGCTTGGCACCCATTTGTTTCTTCAGCAATCTCCCCCAAAGCAAAGAGCTAATCCTAACTTCTCCCCCCCCCCTTAGAGAAGCAAGAGGTTCTCCAGAGGAGCCCAGGAGACATCACCTTTGCTGGGAGCACTCATCCGCAAACACCACCTCCATCACAGGAGGATACTTGACTTGGAATCTCCCAGTATTTTTATTATTGGCCCCAGTCCCCCATAACGTTTTGTTATTGGCCACTGTGGCAGCCATTTGGGGGCAGTATCTGCTGGTCATCTCAACATTTCAGAGGTGTCAAGGAGTCTCAAGGAGATTGGGGACCTCTGCCCCAAAGCAACAGAATTGGATCTAATGCTTCCATTGTTCCAACTTGAATCCAGCTGATGGGGAGTTTCCGGGAGATACCAGCAACCAGATTAATAGAAGTCCTCCCTGCCCCTCAGTTCTCTGCTCCAAATCTCTCACCATCCATGAGTCTTTGAAATGGAAAAGCAGACTGTCCCAGAAACATCTCTCACACATTCACTTGTAACATGTGGTTGATTTCCTCTACTGTTGGACTAGAACTGAGGAGAGCTGGGTTCAAATCTCAACTCATCCATGAAGCTTAGTGGATGACATTGGGCCAGTCATTCTCCATTAAGCAAATCAACCTCACAGGGCTTTCGTGAGGATAAAATGGAGGAGGGGGAGGAGAGAACCAATGTTCCCTCTAAGCTGAGGTAGTGTGAGCTAGCTCACAGTTTTTTAGCCTCCAGCTCACACATTTTTGTCTTAGCTCAGGGAGGGTGGCTCCAGAGCAAACTAATTTATGCAGCAGCCAAATCGCTCGCTCACAGCTTTAATGCCAGTAGCTCACAAAGTGGAATTTTTTGCTCACAAGACTCCACAACTCAGAGGGAGCATTGAAGAGAACTGTGTACACTACTCTGAGCCCGGGGGTGGTGGTGGTAAAATGTGATTGATGTAGCTAGAAGAGATAAACCTCTAAAAGTAACTTTCAAAGTTTAGAAAGTAGCAAATAACTGACCTTGAAAATGTAAAGATCCCTCCATTCATGGTTCCAAAGCAAGATAAGGCAACCAAGACAGGAATCACTGAGATAAGGCTCTGAAACGCTTTGCGTGCAAAACTCTGAAAGAGAGGCATGTTTGTGGTCAACAACATAAGAATCTTGATGAGTGGACTCAAAGGTGGACTCAAATATTTGATTTATTGAGGGGGCTGTTGTAGTCACCTGCAGGCCTGGGAATCTCCCTGTTTTCTTGGTTTGCCTTCATTGTATGTAATAGGAATATTACCTTTGTCACAGATGCATCCACATTGCTATTGGGAATGCAAAAGCATTGGCTGCTGCTGTAACAAAGCAACCACACAGTTGGTTGGACAATTACTTCTTGCCCTGCACTAGCTGCCTTTCAGGATTCTCACCCCATTCCTTTTCAAGCAGTCCAGGCAAAAACGGTCTGCATCATTCCCCTTATATTTCTACAGTGAAAAGCTGGGAATTCAGAGGAACTAGTAGACTGCAGCAATAGATCATGATAATGTTGCTGAGTTACAACAGGATAGCAATGATCACTATTTTTTGGAAAGGTTGTCAAAAAGCCCTCTGGTGGTATAGAAGAGAAATGGCACCAGTGTGGATGGGACCTTGAATGAACTTTCAACTTACCATCCATACAACATGGAAATATGCTCAGACTGAGTTGTTTTTTTTAAAGATCGTTGCAAAACAGATTTGGAAAAGATCAGAGCAAAGAAGAAGAATACCTGGAGAGTGGACAATTACAGATCACCATAATATGGATGCTTTAAAAAGTGCTTTAGTTTGGAAGCCAAGGTAGAAGAAAACCTCTGAGGGAAGGTATCCAAGGTTTGTTTAAGGCACATATGTATGCACGGGTGTTAGGTCAGTGCTGCTTAGAGATGGAAATAGTTCTAGCAGAGGAGAAATAGCATGTTTCTCTATATGGACTTACCAACTTCTTGCTGTCGTATGTGGACTAAAATGGATTCCAAAAAAGAAAGAGAACATTCTGCCAGGTGACTTGAAGAGACCAGAGATTCTGAAACAGCACATGAATCATGTGCTACTGGACCAGTACATCAGTGGCTGCTCATAGATCACTATCTTTGTGGACCATTTGGGGAAACCTTCCTCCTTCATGTGGCCATGGCACTAGCCCTGATCCACTATCAACAGCTTGCCCAAACATAAGAGAGGAGAAAAGCCTGTTTGTACCAAACCCTCAAAGAAGTCACTTCCCCTGGTTTATACATGCAATGGAGTGATGATATTGACTAGCCTGGATTGCATGGTTGTGTATTTATAGCCTTTATAGCTTGCTTTCCTTCCATCCTGGAGCTCAAAGCAGGTTACATGGGATTTGCAGGAAGTCTCTCAGACAGGCACCAACCAGACCCCAGACCTGTCTAGCTTCAGTAAAATTGCTGGGCCACAGTGTCTTCTGACCACACCCTGGGAACCCAGTGGCTTCTGATGTAGTCAATTTCACTCTATCTAGCAGTTTCCCACCCCAGGACAAAATTTGAGAGGGGGGGAAGTAGAGAAACTTTTGAGCCAGGCATTGCTGAGATGGAAAGACAGCCTTCCACTGTTTCTGTATTGTTCATTTTAAAGTCCAGATAAATGCACACAGTTTCCCTCCTCTCGCGGCAGACCCTGCCCTCCCCCTGCTCTTGATCTTGTTCCTGAGGGTATGTTGGCAAGGAATGAAATTTCAGGGGGCTCTGTGGACTGCAGCAGAAATGGGAAAGGCTTGCTCTGCAAAGTCCATGATTTGGATACATCCTAGTTTCATAAACTTTTAAAAAAGGTACAAAAATGGATCTGGGCATAAATACGGAGATGGGCACAGAGACAGAGACCCAGCCATAACATGTTTGGTGTCACCTGGGAGGAATGGAAAAGGGACTATGAGAGATCTGGAACACTTGTGGATTAATTTAACATCTGAGCTCTGGTCAAGACAGGAAGTCCTCACTAAAAGTGAAGCATATGGCTCAGCCCTTATGATACTGAGAAAGAGTTTTCATTTTCCATGAGTTAGGACATAACCGCCCGTCTTGTCAGATCTCAGAAGCTAAGCAGGGTTGGCCCTGGTGAGTATTTAGATAGAAGAACTCCAAGGAAAACCAGGGTCATGACACAGAGGCAGGCAAGGGCAAACCACCTCTGAACTGTTGGAAATATGTGTGTTGCAAGGTCTAAAATCAGTCATTATAGGGCTAATGTGTTTACCTTGAGTGCTATTGTTTAGTCTGACCTGGAAGGAAACCTGGCAGAAAGCCTGGGAAACTGAAGTCTGTTTACTAACAATCAGGGGCCATTTCCAAGAAAAAGAGGTGCAGGAGCTCATTTGCATAACTCATTTGCATATGCCACACCCACTGAAAGGGGCAGGCATCTTTAAAATGAGTTATGCAAATGAGTTTAAATCCCCCTCCCAGTCTCTCTGTAAAATCCAATGCCACTGAGTGAAATCCCTTCTGTCACCAGAAATGACCATGGTGTCCAACCCAAGAGCTGCTTGTATGCTGGAACTGACCTTATACTCCTGGTTTTTGGGATCCAGTGCTGGCTTTTCTGATCATGATAATGGAAGTCATCTACCATATGGTGCATGCATGATTGTCTTCAATTATTAGTTCTCCTTAACTCTGCCTCCCTGTGCTCGCCGTCTCTGCCGTGGTGGGCTGGCTGGAGACAGCAAGCGCAGGGAGGCAGACATGCCTGGGTTCCCTGCCGGATCTTCTCCAGGTGCCCCGCAGCTGGGCTCCTGGGCCTGGGCTCCTTCCTGCCGGAGCACCGCTCCGGGGCACTCCAGCAGGAAACAACCCCTGTTAACAATCATTGGTTAATGCATTCAGGTGATTTCCTTCTAGGGGTCAAGAAGAAAGGAAGAATCTGCATTACCAACTTGTCTGTCTGTTGTCGCAAGCATACAGTCTTAAGTGTTTGTTGTTTTGTAGATTTCCTGTGTATCCTTCCCTTTAGAAATAGAGGTTTTTACATAGAAAGAAAATGCCTCCTCTCCAGTGAACAAAGATCCGTTGCAAACTCTGAATATTTAACTATTTTTTACCAATTTTCCAACATAAGCATCTCTTCTCTTGAAAACCCTACAGGGTCACCAGAAGTCAGCTGTGACTTGAATGGCATTTTCCACTACCAGGATATAGCCTAAACCAGTTTTACACAGAGCCGTTTTGACACAGTTACTGACAGAGAACAAAGCCTTGCTTGCAGCTGTACCTTGATCTAATCTTGATCACTGTGTGTGCTGGTGGATTGAGGTGAGAGGGATTTTTTTACAGAGCCTTGAATTTCACCTTCACAGGAAAATGCTTAATTCAGCCTCAAGAGCACAGAGAGTTTTCAATGGTATCCTTATGGGAAGGGTCATATACTCAGAGGAGAGAATGCTTCTGGGTCATTAAGACCCAATGGAGAGGATGTGTCCTAGTTGCAGCTTTTAGGAGGCAGGCAGGAAAATGTGCTTCAAGATGGAGGCCTGAGAGACCTGGGCCAACATGATGCACAAACTACTGACCAGCAGCTGTCCAAAGAGATACCCACTCCAGTCACACTCAAATGAGCACACACCTGTAGCGCCATAGTTGGCCACCCTTCTGAATGCTCGTTTTCAGCTGTTCCAGGGTATTGTTCGAAAACTTGCAAAAAAGTTTTGCAAGCCAGGGTATTGTTCGAAAACTTGCAAAAAACAGTTTGGCCAGAGACCAAACTGAGAAGTCAGAAAAATGCAGGCAACAATGACTTTCCAATATGAATGCCACAGAAGTGATAAGTTAACAGCTGAATACATCCTGGGGTTCAGTACATCCCGTCCCTCTCAGAACATTACGGTCTTATACAATGGCTGTAGCAGGGAACATTCTGACTTGACAGAACACAACATGACAAATTGTACAGCTTTGGCTCTCTCCTTCTCCCCCCCCCCAAAAAAAACACCTAGCAACCCCATGTAATGATTACCCAACTAATGCATGTGAAAAAAATGAACAGATGAGAAATGTTTCTATGTAAATGCTCTATTACACTATTAACTAAAGAGAAAAACTTTGCATCCTTCAGTCAATTGGTCGTTCACTTCCATTTCACTTGGCTCATGGATACAAAATGGAGGACAATTTTGTATCCACATCCACTGGCCTATATGAACTGGCTAAACTTGACAGATAGACAGAAGCCTAGGCACACCTTCCAGCCTCTGTTTTTGTGGGCTAGAACTCACATCTTCACTTCATTAGAGCCCACTTCAGGTATGATGAGTGGCTCCTCACTAGGCAGTCTCCCTTTTTACTAATTCCCCCCCTCCAAATCTCTCTCTCTACTAAATTTAAATTCAGCACTATCAGCACTGAGCTCTTTTTGCTATGAATGGATATTGCCTCTGTAATGGGAGGGGGGGCAGCACTTCTAAAGGTAGTAACTGTCTACTCCCTATCATCTCCCTGGATGAATGCAAGTCTAATTTATCAATGATGTAACATCTCTGATGGTTTTAATCAATAAAACCTCTTTTTGACTGCCCCTGTCTTAGGTGCCAAATGTCCCTTCCATCTACTGCAAACTGAACCCTTGGGAAATTACAGATTAGCAACAAAACCATTTTAATGTATTTTATATCTGTTAATGCTTCTTGTCTAAATCAAATTGTGTTATACTGTCATTATATCGTTATTACTTGCCTTGAGTCCTAGGGTAGTCAGACGTAAGGTGGGCATAAATATTCTACACCAATCAATAAGTCCATCTTTCAACTCACCACAGCTACCGCCTGGGAGGCCAGGACATCTGTTGCTGTTAATACAGTGTAGTAGGACACATTGGTAAGCATGTAGCCCACAATCACAGTGATTACAGACACAATGACTGCCAGAGGAATATTTCTGCAAAGGGGGGGGGGTAGAAACAGGGTAGAAACAAAAAAGATCATAATGGAACTATCCTGCATAACTTTTAAAACAACAACAGCATGCATCACTGTTATGTTCTAAAAAAATAGCCCAGGCAGAGGAAAACTGCAAGCAGAACTGTGGTTAGTTGCTTTTGTTTAATGTCACTTATAAGATGTGGAATTATGCACACTGTCAAGAAACAAACAAAAGATATTGAAATCTGCAAACAAGTTGTAATTCAGAAAATCCCCACCACCAGCGCCACTTATTTTTCAGCATGGTCAAGCCTCAACCATGACTTCAAATGAAACTGAGCGCACGCACACACAAAAAGGAGAAGTAAAAGGCTACTTAAATCAAAACTCTGACTTCAATGAAGGATGGGTGAAAAGTTCAGAGAAAGCTAAGAAATGCCTGCAGAAATCTTTCAAGGCTGCTTTAGATAAAACACTGAACCTCTAGAGGGAGTCAAAGGTAATACCTGGATTAGCATTGCTCTAGAGGCTGGCACTGTAAAGGTAAGTTAAGGTCAAATGCGACGTGACATCAGGAGATCTGTGAACTGACAAGTACATCTCCTGCCGCCGCCGCCTTGTAAACTGCTGCCCTGGGGGACTCCTGATTCAGACCAGTGCCACTTCACAAAGGGAAGGAAGGGGTTAACCCCCCTTCCCCTAATCCTACTGGAGTCTGTATAATTTACACACACACACACACAAACCAATGGCAAGATTAAAAACCCTGATCTTGATCCAAATCCGTGCAGTTGCTATTTTCTCTTTTACAACTGGGAGACTCAGTCTTGGATCTCCCGACAGCAGGTCTAGTTTCATATTCTAATGCTGCCAAGGTTAGGTTCAATATAAATCACAGTTACCTTCCTCCTTCTCCCTCACACAAGCCTGCCCATCACCTTCCTGAAGAGCTTTTCCCAAAAATGATACAAACTGAATTACTGATGCAGCCTCATTCCACAATTAATCAGATAGAAACCACCTTCTTTCTCTAGTGGTAGAACTGAGTGAGCCATTTTTTTGCTCTGAGGGGTTCATATCTGTATGCCGAAGTCACAATGTCCCTACTATGGCTAGTTCTAAGAGTTCATTTCTCAGACTCACCGTTCTGGCCTCACTAGCTCTTCTCGTACAAAACTAGTCTGGAACCTGTATGGTGACGGGGGGGAAATAGGACAGAAAAGTTTGTGGTGAGATTTCAACAGTGTCGATAGGCCACCAGAGGGTTTATGAAGGTATTCTTTAAGTATGCATACCATCCTGAATAGGCAAACATCCCTGCATAAAACGCTAATGGTAGTTTGTCCAAAACAAGTGCCTGGGCATTGAAAGGATCCTGGAAATTTTCTGTATGGCCTAAAGAAAATCAGAAGATTATAAAGCAAAAGTGATAAGAACAGGAACTCTCCCATGGTGGTTAGACAAGTATATAAATGTGTCTCAGTGTTTCTACAAACATTTTATGTAACCCAAGAGTTTGGTACTCACCCTCTCATAGAGGATCTCTTGTCATACATGATCATATAAACTAACTTTCAGTTCCTAATCGTAAAGGGAGAGGGGTATGGATGGCGGTGATGGAAAGTACTGTCAAGTCACAGCTGACTTATGGCGACCCCATAGGGTTCTCAAGGCAAGAGACAAACAGAGGTGGTGTGCCATTGCCTGCCTCTGCACAGCAACTGTGGACTTCCTTGGTGGTCTCCCATCCAAGTACTAACCAGGGCCAACCCTGCTTCACTTCTGAGATCTGACAAGATTGGGCTTCTGGAAATTAAAAATCACAACCCTTGATACAAGATACATGGGAGGAGTCTTTGGTCTTTTCAGTCATCTGTATCTTGCCCTGCTGGAAGGTTTGAAATCATGTTCTGTAGTGATGGGTGTGGGATAGTTAAGCGACGGCCTATATGAAGTGATGCCACCCATCCAAGTACTAACCAGGGCCAACCCTGCTTAGAAACTCATTAGCATAATAGGCCACACCCAACCGCAGAAACTCATTAGCATATTAGGCCACACCCCTGACAGCACAGCTCATTGGCATATTAGGCCACACCCCCATGTTACCAGAAGTGTGCTCATCCAGCCACACCCACCTTTTGCTTCTTATTCTTTTTACCTTGTTTGTTGTCAAAACCCAGGGCTTTTTTGTAGCAGGAACTCCTTTGCATGTTCGGCCACACACCCCTAATGTAGCCAGTCCTAATGAGTTTCTCCTGTTGTGTGTGGCCTGTTATGCTAATGAGTTCCTGCTGGGCGTGGCCAACTTGGGAGCCAGCTGGAACTCCGTTCCTGTGCGTTCCTGCCCAAAAATAGCCCTGCCACTGGGGACAGTGAAGTACCATGGCATGGTGGAAAACACGACACTTTCACTAAACACAATCTACAGTCAACTAGCCATCTTAATAGAAGTGACAGCAATCCTTAAAAACACTTTCCTGGGAGTAAGTCCCATTGAATAAAATGGGACTTGCTTCTGAGTAGATCTTCTTAGAATTAGAAGGCAGAACTTTTTTGGAAGAAAGGCAGGATGAGAACATAAAAGTCCTTTTGGATCAGACCACTGGGATCCATCTGTTCCAGCATCTTGCTTCACTCAGTGGCCAACCAGTTGCTAGGGTTGCCAGGTCCGGGTTGGAAAATACCTGGAGACTTTGGGGGTGGATCCAGGAGAGGGTGGGGTATAGGGAGTGGAGGGTCCTCAGCCTGGTACAATGCCATAGAGTCCACCCTTCAAAGCAGCCATTTTCTCCAGGGGAGCTGATCTCTGTCAACTGGAGATCAGTTGTAAAAGCGGGAGATCTCCAGGCCCCATCTGGAGGCTGGCAACCCTACCAGTTGGAGGGCCAACAGAGAATAAAGGCCAAGGCCTTCCCCTGATTCAGCTTCCTCATACAGGTGTTTACTTTTTCACCACTGTGTTTACTTTTAAACCGATGTGGTGCTGCCTCATCTGACTTCATGTTTCTATTACACGACACACTACAAACCTAGCATCTCTTCCTTTTCTCTCTTCTTCAGTCTCAGCCAGTTCAGACTTCATTAACATACATCTAAAGTTTGGGGTGAGCTCCCATCTCTAGTTCCAGCTCCTGCCAACCTAGCAGTTCGAAAGCAAGAAATTGCAAGTAGATAAATAGGGACCACTTCGGTGGGAAGGTAACAGCGTTCCATGCGCCTTGGTGTTTAGTCATGCCGGCCACATGACCACGGAAACGTCTTCGGACAGCGCTGGCTCTTTGGCTTTGAAATGGAGATGAGCACCGCAACCCTAGAGTCGGATTCGACTGGCTTTCGAGCAAGGGAACCTTTACCTTTACTTAAAGTTTTTTGGGGGGGTTCCAACGTGCATCACCTCACACTTCCCATCATTTGCCAACTTGTTGCCCACTCTCCCAATTTAGAGAGGTGCTCCTGGAGCACAATCCACCTTGGTTTTCACCACCCTGAATATTTTAGCGTCATCCGCAAACTTGGCCACTACACTACACTGCCACCCCCAACTGCAGTCCGTTCATAAACCCATTCAATAGCACTCTTCCCAATACCGATCCTTGTGGGACCTCGCTGCTCACTTTCCTACATTGTGTCCATTTATTCCTAATTTTAGGATTAAAAATAGACTAGACAGACAGACAGACGGATAGATGGATTTATCAAGCGATACCTTGGGCTAAAAGCATCATGCCTGGGACAATGATAAGGGCGAGAGCTGCGAGCTTGACGACGGACAAGATGGTCTGAAGCCTGGCACTCCAGCTAACACTCCAAGAGTTCAAGATGAGGACAATATCTGGGAGGAGAGAGAGAAGAGGCCATGGACTGGTCCAGTGCAACCATTTATTTCAAGGACAGGGCCAAACAGGTAGGATCAATGCAGTTTCAATGTGTTTCACTTTGGCAGGACTGTACAATAAGAAAGCCAGTAGGGTATCATTCCTTCTTAGTGCACCCCATCAAAGGTGGATGACAATGAGAGAGAGGTCTTTAATGGTGACAATGACATGCTTGTGGCATTTTTCCATCTAGAGTTGCCAACCTCCAGGTGGTTTCAATTACACTCCATAAATTTAAAATCTGAATAATCCATGCACAAAATTGGCATGATTTTTGGCTTATGATCACGTAAGCATATTCTTGTCCCAATCCAAAGGTATGCCAATACATACTGGAAAAGTCCCAAAGGAAAGCAACTTATCACAATTTCAGTGAGCAATATTCTTCAGACAATTCTTCTGACAATTTGAAGGTGATTGCCGAAGGATGAGAGAACTTCTTGGAATTTTGTGTTTGCATTTAAATAGCTGTATATTGGAGTCCCGACCTTGAGGAAACAAGGAGGGAAATGGGTGTTTCAAGCTGACTCCCCATCACCGGGACCATTGATTTTTCTACTGAATGGTTGGTGGAATATAAATTTTTGAAAATGATACTACCCAAATTGTCCGAAGAATATTGCTCACTGAAATTGTGATAAGTTATTTTCCTTTGGGACTTTCCCAGTATGTATCGGCATACCTTTGGACTGGGACAAGAATATGATTATGTGATTTTATAATGGGCAATTTTGTACACGAAGTATTCAGATTTGAAATTTATTGAGTGTAATTGAAACGTTAGTAATTTGGTCACAACTGCTTTCGCTTCTTTGATGTCATACTTTGTTTCATGACTTTCTCTCTTGTTACATATAACCTCCAGGTGATGGCTGGAGATAATCTGGGATGACAATTGATCTCCATGTGACAGAGATCAGTTCACCTGAGGAAAATGGCCACTTGGGAAGGTGGACTCTATGGCATGATACCCCATTGAAGTCCCTTTCATCCACAAACCCTGCTCTCCTCCGGCTCCATCCCCCAAAACTCCACGTATTTCCCAGCCCAGAGCTGACAACCCTATTTCTGCCTCAGGAGGTTCACCTGGCACTTAGTTTACTATTTTTTTACATACAAAGTAAAGACAATTCAATTGCCTGGGCTTTTCCTGTCTTACAGTTGACAGACTTCCATTCTGATGGCTTAGGCTGGTTTCATCTATGCTGTTAGCTGACTGATTCTCTCTACATGGTTTATGCACTGGGTATTATTTTTACAATAACTGGCACTGGTTTTACTGATTATTTTTAACGTCAGTATCAGTGATCATTTTATTGCTGTTATCTGGGAGTTGGTGTTTTGGTGTTTTTATTTTTATTGGTCTATTGTATTTGCTTTAACTAGATTTGAGGTCATAGTTAGATTACTGGAGAGGCAGTCAAGAAATGAACCATAGCAAATAAATGTACTTACAATATCCTAGGAGAGCAACCAGTTTCACAGCTAGAAGCGGAGCTTCACAGGGAGCAAACAAGGGCTCCAGGATGTAGCGCCCAAACGCCAAAGCCACAACAGCACTGTTGGCTGGCCTGGGAAGGAAAGGGTTATAATGAGACATCAAGAAAATTCCAGTGACATTTGGCGGCAGGATGCAAATGTCTGAGAAGCTGCCCAGTCAGCATTGCTTAATCATATCTCTGCCTTCTGCATGACCATCGCCTTGGGGTTACTTTTTCCTACAGGTAGGAATTCTTACACAGCATTTATCTAGCAACCTGCAAACACCAAAGCAAGAGCCAGCATGGTAGGGTGCCTTGCGTGGATCAACAGCCGTGCTGGGGAGGTGAGTTCAAATCGTCGCTCAGCCATGAAGCCCACTGATAGCTCTGTTTCTCTGATGGCCTACTTACACATTGCGCTACATCTCGGTCCACTCTACCAACCTCTCAAATCCACACATGCACTGGGAGCTGTGTTCGGAGCTCCCACTGATTTGGGGACTTAATTCTGAGGTGTGTTGGAGCCAGACTTGGATTGGGACAGATCTTTACCATAGAGATTGGGGAAATATCGAGAGAATCATCGTCTATGCTATTTCCCTCCCCATTTTTATTCCCATTCCTCAAATCATTGAGAGAGGGGGACTGAAGACAGGATGGGGGGAGGATGGCTGCCAGTGCACACCTGTTTGACAGGACTGGGGTGGACAAGGGACAGGGAGATAAAGATGGAACACGTAAGGTACAGTTAGGCCCTCAGGTAAGTCGCCAGGCATGACCTGGCAACCGATGGGAGACCAGGAGGGTAGGGACACATGAGGCAGCCATCAGTGATGGCATTCCAGGAAAAATCCAGAAGGGACATCAGTCTTCTCTAGGAAGTGACATCATTCTTCTCTAGGGGTTTTCAAGAAATGATGTCATGCCATCAGCCTGACTGTCATTTTTTTCTCCTGCTGCCATTTGGACTGGGGGTGGGAAATGGGAGCTGGAGGCAGGGAAACCCCCATCCCCCAATGGGGTGCTGGCAACCTTGCCCTCAGGCTATTCAGTAGCCCCCCCCCCAATAAGCTGAGCATTGTGACCTACATGATTGGCTCTTTCTAAATACAACAGATCACCTGCGATCAAACCTAGATTATTTGACTGCCCTGACTAAATTAGTCCAAAAGTATCCTTCTGTGATGTCATGGTAGGTCTATACAAGTAAACCTCTCATACATCTCATATCTTAATTGCTCAGACAGCTGCAGCTGAGATAGTGCCACATATACCTAAAGATGAAACAGTCACAAATATTTTAAAGGTACCAACATTTTCAAATTTTGCTTTTTCATTTCAAATGAAAACTTATAAAATCTTAGTTCCAAACATAAGTGCTTTCAACTTGGTATCTCTTGATTGTTTCAATTTTGGCAGATGTCAGACATGAAATGTTACAAGTTTAAGGGAGAGGCTGTGTCTTGGTGGCAGAGCGCCAGCTTGGTATGCAGAGACACTTCCAGGTTCAGTCCCTGGCAACTCCAGTGAAAAACAACTGCAGAAGAGCTTTGGCTGTGTTTTAATGGGCTGCAGTATATTCCACTGTCAAAGCTTGAAACTTTTCCCCATTAGGAGGACCCTAGGCTGTTGTTGAGCAGTATAGACCCCTATAGAGTGAAAGGGAGAACAAGAAAATAAAGCTAGAGGAGAAATTAGAGCAGGGGCTGCAAAAAGAGCACTAGAATAAACACTCGTGTTAAAAATCCTGCTTTATGTCCTTGCCCGCCACGAGCCACAAAATCTTTCTCTGGCCAGATCCCCAGAGCACTGCTGCTAGTCAGAGTAAACAATCCTGAGATAGGTGGGCCAATAGTATGACTCAGCCAAAGGCAGTTTTATATATTGATTTTTTTCAGAGATGGTGACTCACAGGCAGAGTACATGCTTTGCATGTAGAAGGTCTTGGATTCATGCCCTGACATCTCTTGTCTATGAGAATCATAGGAAGCAGGTTTTTAGAAAGACCTTTCTCTACCCGAGATCCAAGAACAGCCCCCCCCCCAGTCCAGTCAGAAACTATACTACTGATAGACTGACTTAGTAAACAGTAGCTTGATATACTCAGGCCCCTGCCACACGGCAGGGAAAACACTGGGCAAAGTGCGGCTTTTAAAAGCCACACCAAAAAAGAGACGCCG